GAAAATATATGCAGATGCTTCAGATTACGAAGTCGAATTTATCTGTGGGGCCTTGATTTGAATAACAAATTAAGGGGAGTAAAAAGGCATCGAAATTTTATAGAAAATAATATCCCAACTTATTTATCTTTGATGAGCATACTGCTGGTGCCGGGGAAAAGTTTAGGAATGTCTAAGTCTACGATGTGATCATGTAAATTATCATTGATATTAACAGAGAACTTAGGACAAGGTGCATTCATTTGAATTTCTTTGAAAATAAGACCAAGTTGTGGAAACAATGTCAGACCACTTATAAGACAATTTTATAAGACTTTGAAAGTATGCTACATGATTTCATAGCACACAAAAGAGCCAGTTGGCTGAATAACTCAATAAAAGAGAATAATTTTGTTCTTGCAGGAGTTACCGGGTGAGACATGATGAGGGTCATAAGTGATGAGTGAGGCGAAATTGACCGCGATATATAGGCCAGAATGTCGAGAGCCAGAGAGCAATGTTCTGGGAAATCCTCCGACGCTTGACAAATTCTATGAAAATAGGCGAAAAAAAATTTAAAAAAGATTATTGTGGCTTTACGATACTTAAAATTGCTAAGCAAAACTACACTTTGATGGTAAAAGTTTGAATATATATATATATATATATATGAAATAAAAAGGATGTGTATAGATGTTAAGATGATGATACATGAAATCCTGATAAAATAGCGATACCTCAGAGTTTAGGCTGTAGAGAAATTTACACTTACCATATAGTGGTTGGAAAAGGTCAACGGATCAGTCAAGTCAAGCATTTTAATCCGCCTTACGTTCCAAACGGTATTCTTATTCAGAGTGTACTGCGGTTTCGACCTCGCCCAACGGGACTCAAACCATGATAGAGCAGCATATAATTTCGACAATTTAATCACTACGCCATTGCCATGATCTCGTGCCCAGTATGTGCGATGATGTAAACAAATGAGTTGTGATAGGGAGGGAGTTTGATAAGAGCATAAATAGAAGATAGATAGGCCAGGACAGAAGGATGAGTGATAGTGTAACCTTTTTCGGTAGAACGTTGGTGGAAGGATTGACTTAACTCGTCTCTTTGACGAGCTCGTAGCTTGGTGTGGAGAATATCAGCACTCACTGTTGATGCCGGCGAAACGTTTAAGAATCTACCAAGTCCACTCACTGTCTGATGCTGGGAATTATGATAACTAATATGGAAAAGGACATGGGACTAGGTGTGTTATACTAATTCTGCCTGACAACAAGACCAAGTTGCGACAAAGAGGTCAACCAACTTCTAAGATGCTCAGCCCGTCTCCGCTGGAAATTTTAGAGGGTGTTTCGTGGATTGTATCAACCTGAACGCCGTATTAAGGCCAAACAGCCGCAGGACAACACAAATCAGCCGACGTCTTCTAATAAGATTGACCTACGAGTCCCTTAGTAATGTGCTTCCATACGAAATGAAAGCCTTCACTTCAAGAATAAGTAAGATATTTTGGCTAAAGAGCACTGAGCTTGGGCCCATGTGAGGACCAAAACGATTCAGCAAAGATTCATTTCACTATGGAGGTTCTGGCTAAGTTTATACTAAAATTTAAGATAATTCTTACACGCATTATGGTGAAGGAATGAGATCACTTACAGAGCCAGGTTGGCTAAAAAGTCAGGCCTTCCTGTACGATGGTTGAGGTTGATAAGGAGACGTGAAGTTGGAACTGGAACTAGAGGCTTTGTCGCCAGACCAGAACCTGCAGCTTCACCAAAGTGATTGTGAAGGAAGGCACTGAAACCAAAATACATACAAAGTAAAATATTGGAATAAAAAATTAATGGATGGAGCATTTATTCGAGAAAATGTATAAAGAAAGGAAGAATAATAAGAGAAGGCCTCGAACCCAACTCTCCCACATGTACTAAAAGAATATCTCAAAATGCCAGAATAGTTCCTACATGGGTTCAAACATGATTAATAGAATAAAAAGCAAGGCTAGTTAAATTCAAGTAAAATATGGTCTAAATAAGAATATTTCCGATTATACATGATACTTAAGTAAAAAAAGTAATCACCTTAGGCCGCTTAAGGAGTTTTAAGGACGGATATTGGGGTTTTCCCACAGTTAATTGAGTAGGCCTGACGATGCCATTGAAATCCTCTTCGTTTTCCCTCCAAAAATGTCCTTTCATCTAGAGCGGATAAAAATTTAGATTTCGTCTAGGTCTCGTAAACACCCTCATCGGGATTTGACACCTTGTTGTGAGTATAGGTGGTGACAACACAACACCCATGAACGGGAACAATTTTGGAAGCAAGGCTAAGTGAACTTTAATAACATCCTGAGGCCTACTAATCTCATTGTGGAAAAATTTAACTATCAGTCACTAAATCAACTTGAGCAAACTATGGTGACCAAGTTCTCGTAAGTCATAGTAAAAGTGGTAGAATGAGTAAATAAGGAAATTGAAGAAGGTCCCCTCACGCACTCAGGCAAAGTAGCGGATCTTCGAGCAAGTGAAACAAGAAGGTTCTGATTGGAAAGCACTTGCGAAAGGAGACGCAAGCCAAACAAGGTGGCCCTTGAAGCATCGTGACTGGGAGAATTGTGACTGTTGCATTCACACGCAGCCTGATTACAACCAACTATCCGATGAATTCCCGATTCGATGAGAAACAAAACCTATTCAAAAAGAATGCATAAGGGCATTGAAAGGTTAATGGGATATTTAAAATAGAGCTAACCCACAATATGCATAAAAATAAACAGTTTGAGCACTAGACGAAATGATAACAAAATAAAATCAATACAAGAATGAGCGAAAAGGTTGCAGGAATAAGCAAAACTTAAAAAAATGGTTATAAAAGAATCGATATAAAGAGCGACAAAAAATTGTTAAAACGTCACGAATGTCGTTCGATATCAAATAGAAGTCAATAAAGAGATAAATAATAAAAGGTGAATACGCGCAGTATGGAGCCATGAGGAGTTTAAGTGAACCAAATTGGACTACAAGAAGTAGGTAGGCTTTAAGCCAGCCAACATACCTTCGAGTTTTTTTGTCAATTATCGTTAAGCATGGTGTCATGCTTTGACGATGTCCGTCACATGACGGACGAAAGCTCGGCAAGGATTCATCGAAGCCCAAGGCCTGTGCGTCGAGGATCTATTCGGAAAAATCTACAACCACAGCTCCAAAGCAATCTCCCCACAGCCTCCGGTGGAAGCAACTTATAAATCACTTACACGCGCCTCCTCAAACGAAATGAAAGATACTCAAATATCACCGGTTTATCCCTAAATGCTATATATCTACCCTATTTATAAGTTCTGATGTGTTATACAGTGATTTGATTAGTTATAACCAGCAAAATAACTCAAGGAATTGTGGCTACAATAAGGAAATAAGCTAAATGCTCGAAGATTTGAATACCAAGATAGTGGGGCTTTCAGCGTGACAGCGGCCTCCTTTCGTTGTATAGAAGTTGTTTGACTTTGTTCTCGCAACTTTGTCGTATAATTAGGACGTCGTAGAGGAACGAAAATTATCCGGATGCATAAAATGTATAATAATTTCCAGAGTCGGACCGTTGCCTTGGTACATCCCCAGACGTTTCGCCGGCATCATCAATGAGCCTTGCCATTTCAATTCGTCAGAGACAAGTGAAGTCGATCCTCTGACCATACGTATGCTAAATAGTTGTAATATCTTTCCTTCTGTCATGGGCTATTTACCTATCCTATATCCTTGTATCGCACCTCGAATATCACAATTTCTTACTTAATTATCTAGACCTATTTTAAATCTATTCACACTCTCCACTGGTTTCCTCATCCCTTCCACTGTGCCGGGAATGTTGATCCAAGTCTGTAGTTTAATCCGCAATCCTAACTCTTCGGGTCCTATCAAGGCTCTCTTGTACTTAGTAGGATCCTTCCCTTACCTGAATGTTTAAGTAATTTCACTCCATCACCGCCACCGTATCCGTGCTACTCAAGGCGTTGTTCTACACTCTGCCTCAAGCCTTTGATAGCACGTATACACCAGCCTTACTGCACAAGCCCCTAAAGTCGGAATTCCCATTTAGCATTTCAACCTAACTTGACGCTGCAGACTCCATTATCGCCGAGTAAATCTCGTTGTCAAGCCTTTATCTCATGGACCACGTCTATGAGCAAGCTTGTATACTAGTAGCCAATTAGAAATGATCACTACCGTTCCTCTCGCTGTTATATGACATTATAATGCGTGCCAACCCCCAAATGTGATGGTTCTACTTGATTTGAATAGACTCATTGTACACGTCTTCTCGTGGTTTCCGATTGTTTCTCACTGATCTCTGTAATTTTTTTCCTAGTTAAAAATCTGCTTTTTGCTGATATTCCTGTTCCTTAATCTTATCAGAGTCTGTTTAGGCAGTATGCACAGTTTTCGTTAATCTTGCCTTCTTCAAGTGTCCTGTTCATTAGGTTTCTTTCAGTCAGGAAATAAATGGCTTCTCGTATCTTACGCTTTCTTGTATTTCCACCATATGCAGCCAGCCTTACTGTCGATTTTAACTCGATTTGGTGTCCCGTTCGTGCGATGTGTTCAGCTATTTCAGATCTTTCAGTGTCCATGTTTCTGCAGAGTCTTTGGTGTTCCTTGATTCGAAGGCTAATTTTTCATCCTGTTTCACCAATACACTTCTGCTCATAGTTGCCGCATTTTATGCTATATACTCCCGAGCAATCCAGTTTGTCAACCTTATCGTGTTGCATAGGCAGGTTTGTGAACTGTTGTCTTTTATTTTGTTATCATCTTGATATTATATTTTCTTAGCAACGGTCGCAATTTATGACTCAGTTCACAGAAAGACAGGCATATTCACTGGTTGTCGTTCTCACGACAACGTTCTTATTTTCATAAAATCCTAGCTGAAATCTGCTCTTTATGACTCCTATATTTCTTTATAGAAATCCACTGGGGTATTCATTACTAAAGAAAATTAGAGTCAGTTTCTCCAACTCCTCGTTCCAGAACTCAGTATCTGTTAGGCTTAAGCTTCTGATGATCATACTCCTCATCACTCCTATCTTCAGTCAATAGTTCTGATGATACCGAAAATTGAGAATTATTCCCTCATATGAGTTCTTTCTGAATAGTCTCCTCTTGAATATTTCGTTGGAGCGAATGACCTCAATATCCTTCCGTAT